ACTATTGCCTTCCGGACTCGCTGCCCTTGGAGCGAGCCTGCTGAGCTTCGGGCTCATCATACCAGGGATGGATCAGGCCTGGTACACTGGTCCGATCGCGAGAGTGACCGGAGATATAGGCTTCGAGTCCGCGTTTGTTCTGACGGCAATTTCCTATGCACCCTTGAGATGGCTGGAAATCAGGAAGCGAGGACACGTCTAGGGCGGCCAGATGTTCGAGCGGCAGAGTAAAGAAGAAAAGGGGGGATATATCCAGGCAAGCGAGGTATGATAGACCGTATTTTTCGTTAAGCGCCCCAGTGGGGGGAAAGCAGGGGCATGTTGATATCTGCAGGGTCCCGACGGAATAGGGCAGTTTCGACAGTTGACCAACAATGGCACAGTTTCTTAGGCAATACGGCGGGTGCGTCGCGGCGGCGGCTTCTTGCTTAAACCTTCAATGGTGATCGGCCAGTTATAGTCCTCCATGTCGGCCTCTGAGGCTTGCCGCTTGCATCACCAGATTTGATCGGAAGCCTGGCTAGTATGAGCTGATGGCCACTTCCATTGGCCGTGCCACTCAGTCGAAAGGGGAACAATTACCTAGGTGTCTAGACTTGGTTGACCGGAGAGAACTATGTCTTCACCAAACTGGTGCCAAGCAACATCTGTGAGCCTGGCGGCTGGCACAGGCATGCCCTCGGTATTCTGGACTCGGTCGGGAGACACAACAACACCGCCGCGTCCAAGCCAAGTGGGCGCAATAGTTACGATAACTCTATCAACGAGGCGATGGTAAGCAGGGTCAAGAAGCGAGTTGATCACATGCCCGCCGCCTTCGATCATGACGCTTTCCAGACCTTCGGCGTGAAGAGCAGAGAGAATGGAAGGCCAATCGAATCGCGATTCGGTCGTCTGAGGTTCGAGGACGACGAATTTACCGCCATGGGCTTCCAGGATTGCCTTTCTTTCCGGATTGACGGCAGACGGGCCAACTAGCACAAATGGTGCCAAGCCGTTGTTGGCGCGGGCGACTTCGAAAACTTTGCTGCGTTCGGTGAAGTCCCATCGGCCACGAGGATCCAAGACAATGGGGCGTGGCTGGGCGTCGAGATTTGCACCGTGGATGCGGCAGTTCAAGCCTGGATCATCGGCGAGGACAGTCCCAACGCCAACGAGAATGGCGGCATGGTGACGACGAAGATGGTGTGTCATAGCCTTGGACTCGGAACCCGAAAGGCGCGTACGCACACCAGGGGCGAGGGAAAGGGAAGAATCCAGTGATGTTGCAAATGTCAGAGTAACAAACGGACGGCCCTGGGATCTCGCTGACTGGATGGCAGATTCTGACGGTAGACGAGGAGCCAACCAGGCCACGTCTGGGCCCGGGATCTGCAGAGTTTCCGCCATTGTCGTTGAAGTGGCCTTTTCCGTGGGCAGAAGGGCGAATTGCTCCGAGAACCAAGAGGGTTGCACGTACGGATACGGGTTTACGCAAGTAACAACTCCCTGCGTAGCGCACGAGGTGATGCTATGGCTATCGCAGTACTGGCTAGGTGCCCCCTAGTCGTCTCGAAGCCTAGACTGTTGTCCCTGTTCAGACTGCCAACGGCGATCAAGGTAGACTGCTTATCGAAAGGGCGGTCTGAGAAGCAGTATCGCTGGCTATGCTTTCCTTGCCAAGAATTAGGATCTTTGCACAGCGGCGATACTGGCTCATTGACTAAGGTAGATGGTCGGCGAAGCAGGCTCACCAGTCAGTTGACTGATGGCTGGAAGTAGTAGGGATGAAGTTGAGCAAGGACCCGAAACCCAATGGCCTCCAGAAGGCTTGAGTGATAAAGCCTAACCCTAAAAGGGCACGTATTACAACTATTGGGACGATAAAAGGTTACAGATGCCTGCCGGGAGGAACTCCAAGCAACTTGGACGGCTGGGCCGTTGTTGAAGTCAGCAGTCGCAGGACCGCAAGAGGCAATCGAGGTCGTTGTCGTCTCGGACAACGATTGTCACCTTGGTAAACCTTGAGTGAGGTGTAATGGCCAAGGATGCTATGGTAGAGGAGAGCAGACGCGCGGTTGATGACCAGAGTTGCGGGGGGCTGAGAGCCTAAGATGGCAACAGTTGTGTCGATGTACCGTGACCAAGTGCGAGTACCCGACACAGTTATGGCTGTGTTCGTACCGTCCTGAGGCGAACCAAACAGGATTGGAGATGTTTTGTACTTTTGGACTCTTGAGGAGAGATCGGCAAGATGTGGATGCCCTGGTGATCTGATTCGAAGGCTTTCGTTTCCCTACAGACTAGGTGCGGCGGAGAGTTGTCCGCAGAGATGGTCCTTGCTACTGCCACCACTCGGGTTGAGTCAAGGGCTACGACAGGCGCGATGTGGTATCGATTGTCAACGACACGAACAAGCTGGATGACAGAGAAAGGCCGACACGCCGGGAGAATGTTTTAGGCGAGATGTTGATGCGTCTGTTCCGACGAGTGCAAGTAACACGTCGTCGGAAGGAGATTTATGAGTTGACTCAGGTGAGCTAGCAGTTTCTGTGTCAGAGGATGGAGTGGGTGGGTGGATGACTTGTCTGGTTGTGATTTTCGTGGTAGAGGGGAGAAGAAAAAAAGCCAGACGGGTTGGACTTGGGCTGGACGATGCAAGTGCTATTCGTGTGGGACATGCAGCGGAGGGTGCGGGCAAAGTTGCGTGAAGTTGACGGGAAGGTGGGAAGACAAGGGAGGAACTAAGGTACTGTGGTAATCAATCAATCAGCTGCAAGTGCAATGTTGGTGAGGGCCAGAAGTGCCAATTGCCAATGTCAATTGCAGGATGCAGATGCGGTGCCACTATGCAAGTGCAGGTGCAGGTGCAAATGCAGATCCAAAGCAGGTGAAGGACTTGGAGCTGAAGTTTTGATAATGTGGGTTGGTGTTGACTTGGACCTGGATGATTCGTGAAGCGGGTGCGGGTTGAAGATGAGGTGGGCTGGATGACATGGGAAATGGTGGAAGGGCAAGATGCAAGTGCTGGTGGTGGAGTGTGCTGCCCTGGATTGCTGGAGACTGGAGTGTGTGTGCGTGTGTGTGCGTGTGTAAAAGACAGGAGGCAGTCACGATGGATGATTGGATCTTGCACCTGCCTGCCCTGGCGACGACACAGACACGACCTCTCTTTCTCCGAATTCTCCAATCTCCAACGTTGCGCCCCAGGCCAACAACACCCAACACCCAACACTCACCTACCCGACCTTAACACGGCAAACACCTCAAACCCCTAGACACGGTACGGGGTACTACACAGTAAAGTGGTCGTTTGCCGCCTCGCACCCAAAGCCCAAGAGCCCAAGCCGCAACGCGCCCCGACGTGCAACGTAAGGTGCCAACGTCTTTTCGTTCCTTGCCCTTCCAGGTCACCAAATCGCAAGTCGCGCATCCCTCATCGCCCATCGGTATCCAATCTGGTGGACCTCAGAATAGCCGACAGCCCCACTACAACGTGCGTTTTCCTCGGGAGGTGGACACTTGGAATGGATCCTCTTCAAGGACCACCGACCAACTTGGAGCCCATGATTCCTCACTACACAGTAAGATGCTGCGTCCTTCGTACTTACACGGTACCATACCTTACCTTGCCTTATTAGCCCCGCCTCTTTGGGACCCTGACTTACAAGTTGCACAGTACTGGGACCATCCAAACACAGGTACTCCCACACCGTACGGACCATATACGTTATACTACAACGAAATTCCAGTCTCCAGCTCGACAGGGCCACCGCAAGGCAGAGTCAGGTCTGGTCCGCCAAGCCCATGGAGACTTCAATCATCCAAGCCTTGGAAACAACACGCACATGGCCGTGAGGCTGTGACGGCGCGCGCGCGCGCAACGTGTCCTTGGACCCAACTTCCAACCAGCACACCACCCACTCTGCCGGCACGGCGGGTACCCATCTATACTTGTACATACGAATACACCCACGAATCTGAATGACCAAGAGCCAGAAAGCGAAAGAGAGAGAGAGAGAGAGAGAGAGAGAGAGAGAAGGAGAAAAGGAAAAGAAGGACCACTCACTTACACTAGACAGGCGCCTAGCCTCTAGTTCCCCAACGTATCTCTCATCTGCGGATATTCCCAGCATCTCATTTCCCCCTCGAGTCGTACGGAATTACGAAGCTATGACGAGAAAACCACCAATAAGTACGCTAGACAACGGTTTCCGAGGCGGCACTTTTCCGCCACATGTGTCGTCCATCACCCCCCTCCGATATAGCGGGCGGGCGGCTGAAGTCGTCTTTGCCTTTCCCATGGCCTCAATCCCATCCCTGGCCCGGCCTCCCCTCCACTTACACCGCTCAGGGCTGCCCCTCCCGACCATGAACTCTAAACTTCGGCGTTACAGTGGGGGGAGGGGGGGCATGCGAGGTCGACTTGCAGTCTGCAAGTTGCGGGCAGGCAATTCCGCATACACGGCACCATCGAGCACTGACCACGGCTCCGAACCCTCTGTTTTCTCTCTTCGCAACCGCCGTGCCAAGCCAAGGCGTCATGGCCCAAGGTCATGGGTCTTTCCTCACAGCATAGGCTTTTACGAAATCAAGATTCGCCAAAATTCCGCCCCTAGACTGACAGGCATCATCTCTATGTACATCTCTGTGCGCTTGCCTGCGTAGCCTTCAGGGCTCTGGACTCTCTTCACTGACGATACTCCGGAATATCCCTACCTGCTTTGGCATCCAGCCATGTCGGTCGAGATGCCTCACTTTTTAGCCTTTCCGAGTTTCTGGTTTGGTCTGCTGCCGGATACTCCCAACTCGGGCAGAGCTCGCAACACCCAGGCCATCACCTGCAGCCGCCGACACGCCATTTCGGGCCACTTGGGCCGGACGTTTCCCTGGGACTCCCTGGCTGCCTTTGCGCTTCGCATCTTTATGGGATACTCGCTTCCTCCAATACCCAGCTTGTGGAGGTTATCCTGAAGTCAACCACCTATCACACGGCACCAAGTGGGCAAGTGGGCTTCAGCATGCAGCATGTAGTTGCACTGGTAGTTGCAATCGCAATCGCAGTTGCAGTTACACTCACGCTTGACGACCGAGACACTACACTACCCTACGTACCCTCCGCTAACTGCATCTACCTGTTGTCCAACCTAGCACCGGCCGGAGTTGGAGGTCCTCTCGGGCGGTTGCAACGCAACACACGCGAGGAAAGTCTGGAGTCTCCCGAAGCCACTTTACGCGACTACGCCGCATGGAGTTTGGCTACTGTTTAGGCCACAAGGTTAGCAGCCATCGCTTTGCTTGTTAGACTCTCGGCCTTAACCTCGACCGCCTTAGCTTCCCCTTCGTCACACACATCACCAGACAGACTGCAATACCTTCTACGTCCATCCCATCCTCCCGCTCTCATCCCGTTTGTCTCCATTGGCTCGGTCGTAACTCCGTCTACGACTTGGAGCATTTCATCCCGCCTGTCTCTGTCTCTTGGGGCAACATCCCGGTTCCCGAAAAGTGCCTAGGCGCTCCGAACTGGGCTTTTTTAAGCACCCTCTCGTGCACAGAACAGCGTTACAAGAACCACTACCTCACACACCACCAGACTCCTTCCATACCTACTTTCTTCGGATGCGGGGAGCCTTCGCAGCGGTATTGGTTTCTGGGGCAGATATCCTCAGAAAGTTTACTTGCCCATGCAATCTTCGATCACGCTCGATCATTGCCCATGTCGTCGAACGGGCCGTGAACGAACCCCCCATGACAAGATGAGCTCACCCGAGAAGTCACGCCATTATTACAGGATGTCTTGCTTTGCGTTCTGTTATCAAGTCGGACCTCACGCCCAAAGCACAAAAAAATTCAAAAAGGGCAGCAGGCTTGTCCAAGGGTTATCGGTGATCGATGACATCGTTGCAGCGGGCGCACTTAGATAGCTCGGCGCCTTCAAGGAGAAACTTGCTCAGTGCTAATAACGCAAACTGATGACCACACAGAATACGAGCAAGCGAGCTTTACTACAAACAGACAAAAAACTACAACTGAAGCGACCGATATGAAGTCAAATAGGGGGGGGGGGGGGCAGGTACAGGGACTCAACGCCACACGAGCCTCTAGGCCTAGGCCAGCCTGACAGCGGCTTGTGCCATAGGCGATCGGCAGGGGCCTCTCTTAAGAGCGTGCCTAGCGCAGAGGGACATTGTCCTTGGGTATTCCGTCGTCACAGACTACCTATTCGTGGACCGTGAGGGTTGGACGGCCCTTGCATCAAGCTCCCCACGCATGCAACGCACTTTTGGTACCGAGACAACTCATCCACATCCGAATATAATAGCTGAAAAGGCATGCTTCGGAAGCTCGGCCAATTATCAGTCCGAAGAAGCTGACGGGCTTATTCCGTGTCTCACTCTGCTTGGAGCCGCCGGCGATGGTGAAAGCGCAATAAGTAGTTCCACGACTACTGTACCACACGATGTTGCTCTTGGCCTATTCGTACTGCGGATACAGTGCGCAAAGATCCGACGATCACTCACTGCCGAATCCCAATCTAACTACCATCTGGGGCTAGTGATTGCCGGCCGCGAGTGGATGGTTTATCTTTACGCGCCACATAGAGTCCAGTCGTGGCCTTTCCTTTGTCAGGGATATGGCACCTGTCAACCGGGCGCTTTCAGCTCCTTCACTCTATATCCGTACATTCAGGTTTTCAGTACGGATACATTTCAAGTACATTGCCCCATTCGCGGCTCGCCATGGAATCTTGCGTCTGCCCTGCCCCCTCTCCGCCACATCGGGTCACGAGCAAAACTCCCGGAACATACGGGAGTGACGGTCCCATCCGTAGGTGCCGGACATGGCCGTAGATGGCCCTTTCGTCCGCGATTTCAAGACATCTCACGTCTTCAGAGGCAGAGTTGTGTTGGAAATCGAACACGGGACCCTGGCTCGGATATCGACCGACTGATCTTGCAGCACAACGGGTGCCCCAGACGGGAAATGGGAATTAGCCAGCCCGGACCAAATTGCGGTCATCAACTCGACCGTTGTGCGAGAAATCGGGCCTGCTTTAACCTGATATTTCCCACTAAGGCCGTCCTGTAGCGCAAAGGCGAATGTTGGCCAAAGCTTACATCGACCCATTCTCAGAAGGCATTGCACTAGTGTTTCGCTCTTCTGGTGACATCCTGAGATCTGGCCAATACCTGAAGGGGTTTGTTCAGTTTGAGTTGCAGCAAATCGGTGTTCATGGTGGGGGGTGCAGAAGGGAGGGGAAGACGAGGCACACCAGATGCCCAGGAACCCAGTTTTTGTGCTCCTGCATGCCGGCAGGCAATGGGCGGGACGTTCCTTCGCCCGGCCACTTGGGAATACGTACCGACTGTAAGTACTGCTGGTACCAAAAACTTCCATGAGATAAATCTGTCTATGATGGCGCTCTGCGCGACCGAACGCTGGTCCGATTGATCTCTTTTAGTGTCATCGGATGCAAGGGCCTGCTCTCGAGCCAAAGTTAGTTGTGCCCGTCAATAGTGACCGGTTGGAGACGCCACAAATGTCGTTTGTGGAACATGGCATTTATCACTCGTGATGCCCGTCTACTTCCGTCTGTGACAACACAGCCATTGCATTTCACAACACTCACCAAACCTCCTTGAGAAGCCATTACCGTCTAGATTCACATCTATTCTCGCCTTCCTCCACACATCAACTAACCATGGGAGCCATCATTCCCAACTCTGAGAGGTATCCTATGGCCTCAGACCCCGTATTGACAATGGGCGCCTCTGCTCAACACGCTTTCACTACGGACTCCTCTCCGGAGGATCCGTATATCTATCAAGTTGGATTTGGAAACAGATTCTCTTCTGAAGCCATGTAAGTTGGCATTACCCAATTCTTGATCAAGAGTCTGAGCTCACCAATAAGTCCCGGGACTCTACCTCGATCATGTAATGTACCGCAAAGAGTAAAGTACAACCTTTATTCCGAGCAGCTCAACGGTTCTACCTTTGTTGCCTCTCGAACTGACATCCAAAATGCCTGGTTCTACCGGATTTTCCCATCTGTGGCTCACGGAGATATCTCAAAGAAGCCACGAAACCCAGATGTAAGTCATTTCTCATTCCTTGGATCCCCTTCCATCTACCCATAACGCAACCACTTTCAAACTGGGCCCACCCCTGACATGTCTTTGCCGTCAAGATTGAGTCAAGATTTACGTCTGGGAATGAGAATGTCGAGTTTGTTCCCGGAGGACTCTGTTGGAGAGCATTCTCGGTGCCAAAGACGGATGGGCCGGCTATCGACTTCGTCCAGGGGCTCAAGACGATAGTTGGGAATGGCGACTCAACGACCAAGGACGGCTTAGCTGTACACGTGTACGCTGCAAATTCTTCCATGAAAAAGCGCGCATTCTGCAGCAATGATGGCGACATGCTTTTCGTGCCTCAGACTGGCAGGCTGGACATTCAGACAGAATTCGGGAGGTGGGCAGTCACCTGTTCCAGTCGGTGACGAAAATCTGTTGACGATCTTTCCAGAATGATGGTTCGGCCTGGCGAGCTGGCGGTGATCCAGAGTGGCATCCGCTTCAAGGTCGGGTTGCCGGATGGTCCGGCCCGGGGTTGTGAGTCATTTGACGATGCCCATATGCATGAGAGGACATCCAACTGATGGGCTTAGACATCCAAGAGATATTCGGAAGCCGGTACGAGCTGCCAGAACTGGGGCCGCTCGGAAGCAACGGGATGGCTTTGCCTCGCGATTTCGAGTTCCCCGTCGCCTCATTTGACATGGATACGTCGGAGTGGGAGAGTAAGTCTGCCCTATCATCTTTGCCAAGACGTGGCCACGCTGACTGACGCGGCGTGTTAGTCGTGTATAAACTGGCTGGAAAGCTGTGGTCCTGCAAACAGAACCACACGCCCTTTGACGTGGTCGCATGGGATGGCAAGTAAGAGAAACGCCCGCTCCAAGACCCTCTCCCCCCATTGTATTCCATCTAGGTGCTCACATCGCTCCATAGCTATGTGCCTTTCAAATATGCCGCCGAGAAGTTTGTCAATGCCGCCTTCGTGGACAAGGACCAAGCCGACCCCAGTTTGTACACCGTCTTGACGGCGAAGTCCAAGATGCCCGGTATACCTGCAACAGATGTCATGTTTTTCACGCCAAAGTGGTCTTCGGCGACGAATACCTTTCGACCTCCCGTACGTTGTGTTTCTCTTTTTCCTGGGGTGTGGCAAATGTCGTGGCTAACGGGGTGTAGTATTATCATCGAAATATGTCGACGGAGGTGGTGGGAATCGTGTATGGCGGTTACAAGGGCACCAGTCGCAATCTGGAAGCTGGTGGCCTGAGTTTCCAGTCGAGCTTCATGCCGCATGGAGGTACGGATACAGGAGGTCCTTTTCTCAGACAAGAGGCCAGATACTAACAAGGGGCTGCAGAAACCCATGAGGCGTTTGTGCAAGCGACTACCAATGAGCTGAAGGCTCAACGCGTGGGAGAAGGCTTTCTCGGTAAGGATAGCGAGGGGAAGCATTAACACCCATTGCACCGCGGCTGACATTCTTGTGCAGGTTTTATGTTCCAAATCAGCACTCACTGCGCGGTGACACAATATGCGTTGGAAAGGAGCGGCGTGCTGGAAGGTAAGGAAGAGGTTTTCGATTTGGAGAGAACGAAGAGGGATGTGGGCTAACGAGCGTTGATAGTACCGCCGGCATCTCTTTGGGACTCAATGCAAGGACACTTTCTCGAGCACGCCGAAGAAGTAAATAGCGACTTGCGAAGACGAGGACTACCGACCCTCGGGGCCACCCTGAGCCATTGAGAGCGAAGCGAAGCGACGTCGATTCATTCATCATCACTACCTACTGAAAGCGGGATTTTTTGGTTTCCCACCTCCTAAGCCTTGCGTGCCTTTGGTCCTCCAACACATCGTCTCTTCTCCATTTGATCCGAAATAGCGAAGCGATGCACAGCGATGACAACATTTACCAGCGATTTCTGAAAGTTTTCCTACAGTCACGGATATATGATCAATGATTCGGTGGTGGCTGGGGGTTTTGGTCGGAAGGTTTTCTCTTTTTCTCTTTCTTTCTTTCTTTTTTTTTTTTTTTTTGGTCTGTGGTCACGAGCGGAGGTGTAAGTGAGAGTGAGGCAGAGCGGTTTGGGGAAGAGAGCTTGGGTCATGTTGCCAGCATGTCGAGGAACACTTGGCTGGGTGATAATCTAAAGGAGAGAAAAAAGCTGGGAATTCCGATTTCCGAGGAAACCCAATGCTATCGATATTAATCGTATATCGTGAACGTGGGAAAAACATGCAGTGGGTTGTGGTGTGGTTTGAGCTGTACCAATGAAATTCTGGCCGCGAGGCGAAAGTATGGTACTGAGGTGATTTTTTTGTCAAGATTTTCAACAACATCCGATATGGTGTAGTGGCCAACATGATGCCCTCTCATTAACTTGCGAGGTTAGGCATAGCCCCGAGTTCGATTCTCGGTTTCGGAACTTTTGTCTTGTTCATCACTCTGATTCGATGCTTTTTTTCTCTTTTGCTTGAATAATTGGTTGGTTACTTGATTTTTGCAAAGATTGCGTTTGTGCTGTTGAAATTTTGCCTCCACTGACCACAGTGTATGTACAACCGGCCCTGTCGACTTACAAGCAGCGAGTACTGCGTGTCCCTTTGCTGTGTTTATGTTCTATGGCGGGCGCAAATGAAAAGTACCTTACTAGGGAGCTCATTACATATTTAGGACACTTGTTAATGCCGTGGCTGTGCTGGTGTTGCAACTACTTAGGCAATTTGTTCGTTTTTCTATGACTTCAACCTAAAGAAGTCAAACCTCCACCGGCCCTAGAGTCGGTCCCTCACGATATGTTAACCACGTATTCATGAGTAACCCAAGAAGAGGGAGATGATGTTCCACCCTGTTGTTCCTTCCTTCGTTCCTTGATCCTCAAGGTTCCGCCGGCGTTCTCTCCTGGATATGCATGACTTACCTCTCGTTTCCATGTTCCAGGTTACTTTCAGTACGTGGCTTGCGTTATTAAGTCAAAAGTCGTGGTAACGTTATGGGACATGAGAGTGAATGTGCGGAGGGGTATCGAACGCTCGCTTGCATGACCTTTGTCGGTTGTTCGAAGGGGTGTCGAGACATACGGACGCGAACGACGCTCACTCAGTGATGCGAACCTATACGGGAAGTTAAGCCCTATTCTCTGAGTGGCGCGAGGGGAGACTTCGATACTTGATGTGAGCTGGTCAATGTAACAAGCCTACCGCTAGATCAAATCAGAGTATGGCCGCCCTGGCGTGAAGTCTCCGGTAATCAAGCTGGGCAACTGTTCTTTCGTTCGGTCCCTTTCTTGACGGATTGCTTGCTTTGCACAACCGAGGGCTTCATCGCTAGACCTATTGACTTCGATCTTGATCCGACAGTGTGATCTCATTTAGTAAACATGGACACTCTGTAGGCCTAATTCGAAAATGACGCTTTTCATGACGTGATCAACTTGGGCTGCTCACGTTGCTGGACTTCATTACGTTTTCCCATAAACCAAGGACGGCGGCGAGGCTACGCGCTCCTCCCTCCAACTTAGTTCAAGGCCTCGTCACTCAAATTTCATCACGAAGTGAGTGTTGTTGCCGGTGCCTCTGGCAGAACCACAGGGACGGAGAAGATGTCGGAGATAAGGGAACCGGAGACGGCCCGGATGCTTCCTACAACCTCGGCGCCGAGGCCGAAGACACCGGAAGCGTCAGCGGTAACAGTGGGTCTGCCTCTCCTCCGTCGGCGAAGGACCGCCGCGCTGACCCAATCCCGTCCTGCCTTTTTGGGCACCTTGTTTGGTGACATGCTGCGTTCGCCAGTGGCCCAGTGACCCGAGCAGGCCGGAGCGGGCAGGGCGGGTCTGCTCCAAACATAGCACTTGATGACCTCGCAGCTTGATCAAGGTACCCTACTGCGCCGGTGGTGCCGCTGATTGGGTGCATGCCGCTCCGGCACGGCGGCAGCACTCTGTCGTGGCCCCGTGGGAAGGAGCTCAGACACCAACAGCGCTGCAGTAGCAACGGGCGTGATCAGATGGAGCAATGCGAACGCGACCTTTGGGATGGGCGACTGGCCTCTCATTGGATTGCTGGGGTCTTTGCCGGGGAGCCGAAGGGCCAGGGGTGTTTCTTCGTTGCGGGATGGTTGGGTGAGCTTGACTGGTGGGGAGCAAGGTAGGAGAAGGAGAAGGGGAAGGCGGACGGATTTGAGACAGGGACAGTTTGGGGCTGGCGAATGTCACAGGTGCTTGCTTTGGACGCCAGGCAGGTACTGCTTGATGCTGTGTTACTGTGTATCTGTTTCCCTCCGACGCTTGTCGCCTTGTGTCGCGCATACCTACTCGGAGAAGATGGGATGAAGGAGGTGAGGAGAGCTTGTGCAGGAAGCTTCGCTGAACCTACTTTCTCCATGGTGTGTCTAGACCGCTGCTTTCCTGTTTCCATGAATTGTATCCGGTAAAGTAGCCCAGAATCCGTATGGCTTGAAGGTGCAAGTGAACGGGGAACCTCCGTCCAAAACGGAGACATACGGATACCCATCGCAATTACACTGCAAAGAGAGACCCAACAAAAAGATACATGGGCAAAGACAAGCTTACGAACACTCCAAGACCCCAAGACCCCCAAGACTCGCCCGCGGCGCGCGCCCAGAGACTTGGTGCGCATAAGCCTATTTCAGGCTAGAGTCACGAGCAAACCCGCAAACTTAACGCCGCCCGCTAAAACGAAAGAGACCTGGAGTGTGTCGAAACGAGAGTCGCAGGCGACCACCAGGTGCGGCCAGGCGAACATAAGGTACCTACACCGACAAGGGTCAGGCAGGTTGCCTCCCTCCAAAATCGCGGCTTGGCTCTCTCCCGCCCAATCCATCCACGCACGCAACGCACGTCCTCCTCCTCCCATTCATTTTCCCCAACATCGCCACGTTCTTCCGGGTGGTGTGTTCATTCTCTCTATCCAGAGGTGTGTGTGTGTGTGTGTGGCTTTTCGATACCCGTTCCTTAAACTCTTCACACCGGGTTTTGTTCCCCTTCGCCATCCGCCGCTTGCAGTCTTCTTCTTCCTCCATCCTCTACACGTAATCCCGCCTCCGAGCCCTCCGCTGCCTCCGTCCGACAAAGGGGATCTCGTCCGCACCGCTTCAAGCAAACGGACTTCCTTGCCTTCTTTTGTATTTTTTTTTTTGGCAATCGTCGTCGAAAGGCAAACCGAAAAGTAATTTACTTTACCTCTCACCCAACCCGCGACACAACCCGAACCCGTCGCGCCTACCACTCTCATCTTCATCCATCACAAGCAACAACCAACTCCCATCCCAAATAATGGCCGACCACGACAAGCCCCCCGCGTACGGCGGTCCTCCCCCTCAACACCCGCAACAAGCCTACCAAGGCTACGGCTCCCCACCTCCCCCCGGCGGCCCAGGAGGCTACGGCACTCCTCCGCCGGGACAATACTACTCCCCCGGCCCGGAGATGAACTACGGCCACCAGCAAGGCCCGTACCCGCCTCCGGGACAGCAGTACCCCCCGGGACAATATCCTCCCCAAGGTCCCTACCCGCCCCAGGGCCAGTACGGACAGCAGTACCCGCCGCAAGGCGGTTACTACCAGGACAACCGCGGCGGCGGCTCGGGAGGCGGCATCATGGCTGGTCTGCTCGGTGCGCTCGCGTGCTGCTGCTGTCTTGACTGCTTGTTCTAAGCGGGCGGCTTGCGAACGTCTGGTTCAAGGGGCCAGATCATACGGAGCGACATTGCGAAACAAACCACACGATACCCTCAACAACTAAAGTACTTTGCGGCTCGAACGTCGTGAGCAGTACCCACTTCGAACGGGATGATGGCAGGAGAGAAGGGGACGCAGTAAGGAGGGAGCGTACGATGATACCCGGTCTGGGCCCGTTGCGGTGCCGAGAAATGCATGGCATAGCGCGGGAAGATACACGAGAAGACCCTTCGCCGGCTGTGATAAGGGGTTACCAGAGTCTGAAGGGGTACAGCCGACATTGCGCTTTTCTCATCATCGTAGGCATGGGGGACTCTCTTGCATGTCTCGGACGGCGTCAAAGGGATGAAGGGGATTCTCAACTCCTCGAGGTGGAATCCGGGAACAACAACTTTTTCTGTCATGGGCTTGAGAGACGGGTATGCTTTACAGGGAAACGAGCCCTTATTCACTCCTGCGAGGGCCTTTTGTGCTCCTTTTGGTGTTTTTCGAACCCGGTGGGATCCGGGAGTTTCGATAGCTTTTTTCCATCGCATAGCATAATATCATCACGGATACGCCTCGGGAACATGTTGTCCACTTGACTAAACTCTAAAATTGTGCGACTGTGAATTCCTATCGGCAAAGCCTAGGTGAGCTGAGCTCTCGAGTGCGGGGTATGCTTCATCGAGAGTGGCTTGGCCGAGGACGCAAGCATCCTAGGCGCAACGTCACGGAGACTTTCACGTTACACGTGTAAGAGAGGTTTCGGAGGGCAGAAGTGAAGACCGAAACTCCACCAAAAGATAAAACAGATTGAGGTATCTACAAAGTGAGCATCATATGATCTGCCGTTCCGTTTCTATGCTACGCTACTGAAGAACTCGTCAAAGTCTCTTTGGATGTTGGCCACGCAGTCATTTGTATAAATCATCTTTTGCACGTCGGGCGAGGCCCACTTATCCGGCACAGCGCCGGTCTGCTTGGACTCGGCAAACATGCGATCGCGCTCCTCCTTGGCTTTGCCCTCGCCGAGGTGCAGCTGCTTGCCCGAGAGGAAGGCCATGTTGACGAGCTGCGAGGTCCAGTCGCGCCGGGAGAGCTCGTAGGCTTTGAGGCAGCGCCGGAGCGTCGCGGGAGACGTGTCGGGCGCGCGGGCGAGGACCTCGGCGACGACGGAACCATCTTCGATGGCCATGGCGGCGCCCTGGCTCAGGTGCGGGAGGGTTGGATGGCAGGCATCACCGAGAAGAGCGACAGGCCCGTCGGTGTGAACCCAGGTCGGTAAGGGCTTGTGCATGCGTAGGCGCCACTCGCAGACCTCGCCGTCCGGTACAAGGTTGAGCATGCGGTGGACGAGGGGGCAGAAGTCATGGAAGACGTCGAGCATGGCCTTTTTGGAGCCCTTTGTGGTGTAGGTTGCGTTCGTGGCGACGGCAAAGTTGGAGTCAGGCTGGGTGGTGGAGAGGTTGTAGATTGTGTGCGAGGAGACGGGGTAGGCGATGATGTGGCGCTTCTCGCCGATCCAGCGGATTACCTCGTCCGAGTCGAGGAGGGCGAGGAGTTCTGGGTCATCAGCGATCTGCTCACGCTTGAGCATGATGCGGTAGGCAGCCTGGCCCGTATCCTCTTCCCCACCGACGGCGCCGATAGACTCAAGCAGTTGGGCGCGAATGATGCTCTTGATGCCGTCGCAAGCGATGAGAACGTCGGACTCGACTGCGTAGGACTCGCCGTCGCGCGGCTGCAGCACGAACTTTGGCTTGGGCGCAAAGGATTCGACCGATAGTAGTGCCGTCGCGAAGTGGAATGTGATGGCGGACTCCTTCTTACAGGCGTCGTACATGCCACCGGCAAGGGAGGAGCGGTGGCCGTTGCAGTGAGGGAAGCCGTACAAATTCCGAATGTCGGGCATCTCGACATGGGCGAGCTCAACATTGGTGGCGCCCTCTGTGCTAATATGTCAGTAACGTTGTGCCTGGCAAGGTGATGTGGTGGTGCAGAGGTCCTCCTTACGTCGAATGCTTGAACTCTTCACGTCTGTACACGTCTTCTCGATCTCAGGCCAGCAGCCTAGGCCATCGAGTACGCGGACGACGTTTGGCGGCATCTGAATGCCGGCGCCGACGAAGCCGAGATTGGAGGCCGTCTCATAGACATCGATGTGCTTGAATCCCTTCTTGGCCAATGCAAGGGCGCAACCCAAGCCGCCCATTCCTACGCAAGTTCGTGTTAGTGAACGGTCTTCAAGATCCGTGAGCCAGGCGGCGAGTACCTGCGCCAATAATGGCAATTTTCAGATCCTTGGGGTCTGCCATTGTGTCTGGTATGGTGCTGTAGTATTCGTCTCGAAGGGTATTGAATTGCAAAGCTCAGCTGGACCAAAGTTTCTGATAATGCCGTCTCAGGGGTTACTTATGAAGTAGACGGCACGGAGCCTCATATGGAGGGGCATGTGGGGGATCGGAGGTAAGCTCGGGGTCCATTATCAGCTGGAGAAGCGGGGAAGCGATCGAGAATGAGGGGGATGCTGCGATATTCCCTAACTCCCCTTGGTCCTTTGATGAGCTGGTAGAGAGCCGGGATCGCAGAACGGGAAGTAAATACGATTCATCGGGGTTGCCATTGGTAGACGAGCCAACTGCCGGTGCGCCGACGGTGCTGTGGGGGTGATGCGAACTTTAGGATACTGCCGAACCCCAAACCCCAATTTCGGGCGGTCAAAGTTGCTTGAATGTTTAGCCAGCGTTGGTTGTGGTAGTTGGCGAAGCTGTCAGATGTCGTGTCAAAAAATTGGCTTAGTCACGGGTGCAAGTCGGATGTGAAAGTCGGCATGCGTGCGTCTAGACTCCAAACCAGACATATGCAGGTGGCCTGGCCCGTCCGTGTGGAAATGTGGCTCGCTAGCTTCATCGCTGACAGCGGCGATTGTGTGTCTGTGTTGTGTTACCATACGATGGGTGGCTTGATCACAGGCGCCCATCCAGGTTTGGGATCCCCGCGTTCGGAGGGAGGGCCGAAATCTTGTCGTCATGTCGCGAGAGAACGGCACGGTGCCCCGGCGCCGGGACTGTTATGATTTGCCTCGGCCGCTTAAGGGGTGGGAACCCCTGGTGATGGTTCGCTTCTCTCTGTAACGCTCCAACAGCACAATCCCGAGGTGGGTATCCATAGTCTTTTCTTGCTCCGATATCTGGAGGCCAGGAACCCAGAAGCGACAGCTGGAAGAAAGCAAGGGTTTGTATGGGTGGACGGGTGGACGGGTGAACGGATGACGGAGGAGGTATGGCGGTGACATGCGAAGCCACCTGTTCATGAATCTTTGTCGAGAGCAGGATTTTCGATCATTGGAGTCAATCCCAGCTCCCTCTTTTGG